CAACTTCTCGCGGGGAAAAAAAGGTCTTGCAAAGTTGGAATTGATTGACTGAACTTTTTAGTCCCACCCAGTCTGCCGTTACCACCACAGCCATGCCCACCCAATGGGCCACGCCCACCCAATGGGCCACACCCACCCAATGGGCCACACCCACCCGGCACTCGACGATGCATAAGTGGGTTTTGGGTTGCAGTTTGGGCACTCGGTCTCTAAAAGGTTCGCCATCACTGGTATAGGGTTTCCTGTGTGAGCAGGGGGTTGGACTAGAAGACCTCCAAGGTCCCTTCCAACTCTGTTTTTCTGTTAAAATTATAATTCTTTTAAAACAAGAGAACATGGAGAAATCACTAAAGGCACCCCAACATTATATCTGGCTGCTTTAAAAGTTTGCCAGCCAAAGAGAATGCTGGCAAAGATCAGGGATCGGCGTTGTAGTCCAACATTTCTTCCAAGTTCCAGTTGGTACGGCTGATTTATATGTGGTTCCCTTTACCTAAGGGCGAGGTTAATCAGAGATGCAGAGGGGTCTTAATGGCATCACACGGTACATAATCCAGATACGGTATCTGAAGGTTAGAGGCATATTTCTTGCCATACGCACACGGAGCAGGTAGCTTTGAAATCCCGGTATTCCCAAACCACTGTGATTGTCTCAGTGCTTAATGTTCTCTTTGCTCACTATTTTTCCAAACAGCCACTGGAATCAACCCTAAATCAAACAATAAACCTGTACGGCTTACCGTTATTTACAGTCAACTGGGTTTAATAAAACCCGTCATAAACAATTCTGAGGCTTGCAACAAAGCTGTAATTTATCTCGCTATCCTGTATTAACAGTCCCTGTACACCAGAAAGGCAAAAGTGTGATTGAAATGGCAAAAAAAAAAGACCATTTAAGCAAACAAAGAAAAGGAAGATATTGTTTGACTCTGCATCTCCCCCTAGTGGAAAAAAAGCAGTATGGCAATGTCTCTTTTTTTCTTTCCAGATGTGTGAAAGACAGGGTTATACCATGTGGAGACTTCTGCTAGTATTAGAAATAATTTGTCACCTGATATTTGTCACCTCAAACTTACACCCATTTGTTTAACAACTGTTGGAATTTACAACGGCACTGGAAAAAAAGTTATCCTCAGACTTACAACCCTCACAGCATCCCCATAATCATTTGATCAAAATTTGGGCGCCTGGCAACCATCGTGAATTGATGCTGTGTCCCGGGATCAGGCGATCGACATTTGCAATCTTCCCGGACAGTTTTGGGGAAACTGGGTTCACTTAACGACCACATGATTCAATTAAGAACTGCAGTCATTTGCTTAGCAGCTGGGGCAAAAACAGGTCGTAAGATCAGATGCCATTCCTGGAACCGCCTCGCTTAGCGGTGCAAACTCTGGTCCCAGTTGTGGCATAAGCTGAGAGCTAGCTGTAGCTACACCGACAGCAGCATGTGCAGGTATCAAAATGGCTGAAACCAAACTATGCAGTGGTCTTACAGTTAAGAGCTATCCCATTTGCTAGAGGAATCACTTCAGTCTGACGGGGGCTCAGCTCACACAACTCATTAAACCAAAGCCAATAAAAGCAATGATAAAGCCATTTTACTCTGGCAGAACACAGAGCATACAAATCATTTAAACAGTTTCAAAGCAGAATGTGTGTGTGGGGGGGGGGGGAGTACAGGATTTTCATGTAGGATTATACATTGATTTTCTTCTTCTTTAGGTCTGAGTATTCCAGTAATATTAAAACAAATTTAAAACTTCCTCTCTTGAACGGTTATTCTTACGAAGTCTCCCAAAGTTAATCAGCTTTCATAAGACTTGTGTGGCAACCTAAACCACCAAGTATACAATCCAGTCTGTGAAGCGTACAGTATTTGTTTTCCACGGAAATAAATTCTGCCACTGTCTTAATCTTTCCACTGAAGTAGAGTTATAAAACAGGCAAGCTCTACCCCTCAATGCTTAAAAAGGCCCGGAGGGTCTTAAAACAGAAACTTTTTTGTTGTGCTGCAATCTCGCAGACAAAAGCAGTAGCAGTTAAAATCCCCTATCACCGCTGGGCCTTTTGAAGTCGGAGCTGGCATGCTTCAAAACTCCTGGGGTGCTACATGTTGGATGTAGAGAATGCTACGAAATGCAGCTCTGGAAACGTATGACAAAAAAAAGCACAGCCAAAGAAAAAGGCATTCTCATAAATAATCATCTATCAGCTCTGCATTTGCCCAGCAGGAAATTCAATCTACCCCAACCTTATTCCATCCGAAAAAAATTTACTCTGCTCCGCTGTTCCGCATTTCTTTCAACAAGAGAAAAATTCAAACCAGCCATTCCATTTAATCTCCTGCTTCTGTACGGTTAAAAAGCCTGTGATGAATCTGCCTAAAAACCAGGATCCTTCCAGCTGATTCTTTCGTTGCCTCTGAAACTGTTCACAGACTTTTATGGCAGTCTGAATGGATAATGTCACCGTCTAATGGTACTCTCCTGTGTTCTCCTACTGCTCTGTTACATTCATCTTTTCTCTCCACTGCAAAATATCCAGCAAGGAAATAAGCAGCGGAACGGCAGTGGCGTTTTTAGCAGAGGCAGGCAAGGAAAGAGGCAACTGAGCCAAGATGGCAAGTTGCAGATGCTTTACTTTGCTTGTTTCAATAGATTTACTACACTCATGTAGTAGCAATGATGCCATTACAGACAGTCCGCAACTTAGAACTACAGTTGGGACCAGAATTTCCCTTGCTAAGCCAAGACAGTTAATAATAATAATAATAATAATAATAATAATAATAATAATAATAATAATAATAATAATAATAATAATAATAATAGTAGTAGTAGTAGTAGTAGTAGTAGTAGTAGTAGTAGTAGTAGTAGTAGTAGTAGTAGTGATGTTGGAAGGTACCTTAGAGGTCATCTAATCCAATTCCCTGCTCAGGCAGGAAACCCTATACCTGTGATGGCGAACCTTTTAGAGACCGAGTGCCCAAACTGCAACCCAAAACCCACTTATGTATCATCAGGTGCTGGGTGGGTGTGGGCCATTCGGTGGGTGTGGCCCATTGGGTGGGTGTGGCCCATTGGGTGGGCGTGGTCCATTGGGTGGGCGTGACTGCAGTGGTAACGGCAGACTGGGTGGGACTAAAAAGTTCAATCAATCAATTCCAACTTTGCGAGATCATTTTTTTCCCCGCAAGAAGTTGAAATTGATTGATTGAACCTTTTTTTTTTTTTTGCACATGGCAGCAGAGGCCTAAAGCGAAAAGGTTTTATAAAACCCAGCTGAAGGACTAGAGCGACGGCGTGGGTGCCCACAGAGAGGGCTCTGCGTGCCACCTGTGGCACGCGTGTCATAGGTTCGCCACCACGGCCCTATACCATTTCAGACAAAGGGCTGTCCAGTCTCTTCTTAAAAACTTCCAGCGTTGGATCATTCACAGCTTCCGGAGTTCTTAAGTGAGCGGTACCCGATTTTATGATCTTTTTCCCCCCACGATTGTTCAGTGAATCACTGAAATGAACTGAATCACGCGATATTTAAGCAGACCCAGCTTCCTCCATTGCTTGTTGGAAACTGGCTGACTATGGCCGTCGAAGTACAGGATGGCTTAAAGCAAGGAAAAATGGCCTCCAAGTGATCCGAAGCTTTACAGAAGTTGGTTCCAGTTAAATTCTAGGCCACAAATGCCCAGAAGACAGAGTGGAAACCAGTACAGTTTCCAATAAACTATTTCAGCCACAGCTATTTGCTCTTGCTGCTGCTGCTCTTGCAAAACGTTATAACAGCCGGATCCTTTTTTTCTCCCCCTACTACATCTGATTTAAATTATTTTAAAGGGAGGAAGTTTATTCTTAATACTCAACCGCCTTTGCATTACTCATAAATTCCAGAAAGAGAGCTTTCCTCCGTTCTTCTTTGCCTGCTCGGAAACAGTGCACAAGGCAAGTTATTGAGCTTCAAACGAAAACTGCCCCTGCCAGCTCTTCTGATGTGATACATTATGAAGGGATAAAACAGGCAGTATTGCATTATATCACTCAATAAACCCATCTAATTAGGAGACTTAGTAAATTCTTCATTTTTTAAAAAAAATCATCTTTAACATACTGGAAGGGCAATTAGGTAACATCAGCACTGTGAGTAATGCAAGACTTTTAAAGTTAAGGACTTCAGTGGATAAACGGCTATAAAACTGTACCAGCAATAATGACAACCGAAACACCACATATTAAGATTAATCAAAGCACCCACAAAACCAAGGGTTAAATACTTCAGAATCATAAGGCTGGGCATTCTGAGATTAAATGACCAACCCCCAGCTCCACCTCACTCATTTATATAAGCAATATTCTGAATAAGATATGTGAAACCAAAGTTATACATCTCTGTCATTATTAGAGGATATATACGGGGTGGGGAGGGGGAGGTGCTATGTGGAAGTTCCCACATATTTTATTCCAAATTAAGTACAGATTACCTTTCCTAGTGGCTTCTTTTAAATGTTAAACAGCAAAAAGGAGAGAACCAAATCCTGGGATTGCATCGGACTCTGCCCGTAAAGAGTTAAGAGACTGGCAAATCTGAGTGATTTTATTGACAACAGGCCGTGCAAACTGCAGTCCAAGCAGCTATGCAGGAAATCTATCTGTTGTCCTCTCCCCAAAAGGGAGTGGGCTGTCCTAAACCAGGCTCTGACTGGCAGCTCACCAACATAATAAGGGAGAAGAAGTGACAATATTTTGCCTCACCCGATTATCATTGCAGAATCAAGCTTGACTTAAGCACTCAACAGAACTGCCCATCAGATGACTGGGAAAGTCTCCAAGGGTGGGGCAGAATGATAGAATCCTAGGGCTGGAAGGGACCTCTAGTCTTAGGTGGGGCAAGATTAAATCAAATTAAAGGGAAGTGTTTTCTGCACATGCTGACAAGTGGATACTTTGGAGACCGTGGTTAAAATGGCTAAAATAACTACAGAGATATAAATCAGAACAAACCTCTTCCTGATCTGGCTCTGGGAAGTTCGGTTGCTGCTGATGCAGTCTGAAATAATATAAAAAAGTAGAAAATGTCAGAATTAAAAACTTAAAAAGACATCACTTTATTCACACTCCTTGAGTTCCAGGCTTAAAGAGGAGAAAAACCAACAGCCCATTCTCACGATTATTTTTTGTTACAACTGAGAATTCAAATGTGTTGTACTACACAACACAAAGGTCCGATTTAGCCATTATACTTAAATTCTAGTGCTTTTTAAAAGTTATTTAACTCACAGCCCCTCTTTCGCTCTTGCGAATTCAAAACACAAATGGCATTCTATATTTTATCTTGTCTATTCTAAATCTTCCAGATTTGAATTTTGTTTCTGGGAGATGGAAACTCTTTGAACTACAGTAACTGAATTATGCTACAAATTGTATCCAACTTTGCCATCTTACCACTTTTATGTTTCCTTTTTTCAAAATAACTCCCCTTCCAAACATAACTATATTCTTAGAGGGAAGGTATTTTATTAACAAAAAAAATTGCTGATAATCAGCTGGGTATTAGCAGATTAGCTAGCATTAGCAATATAATAGTTTAATTCCCTTCCCCTCTGCTTGCCATCTTCCCTCTGTTATTATGAAATCTGAACATTATGAGGTGCAGAGTTTTTAAATGCCTGGTGGCTGCCAACAGCAATGGCATGAAAAGAAAACAGAAAAGTTTTGGTTTTTTTTATTGTGGAGAACAGAAGTCATTTCTGCTTTAGTGTCTCTGTGTGTGTGTTTGTGTGTATGCATATATGGACAGGACTGGACTGGACTAGACTAGACTAGACTAAAATAATGATATAGGATAGGATAGGATAGGACAGGATAGGACAGGATAGGATTCTTTATTGGCCAAGTGTGATTGGACACACAAGGAATTTGTCTCCAGCACACACACACACACACACACACACACACAAAATATAATAATATAATTAATAATATAATATAATATAATATAATATAATATAATATAATATAATATAATATAATATAATATAATATAATATAATATAATATAATAATATAATAATATAATAATATAATATAATATAATATAATATAATAATATAATAATAATATAATATAATATAATATAATATAATATAATATAATATAATATAATATAATATAATATAATATAATATAATATAATAATATAATATTAGTATAATACAGTATAACAGTATAATACAATACAATACAATATAATATAATAATATAATATAATATAATATATAATATATAATATATAATATATTATATAATATAATACATACACATACACACATTCATAAATACACACACAACCAAGTTCCTTGTGAAATTTATAAATGTAGAGCAGCTAAATCAACTGCCAACTATTTAATTAAATATACAAAGTGTCATTCTAGGTATCTATAAACACTCACCGAGGAGGATAAAAATGAGATCAGATAAATGAAATGCAGACAACACAGGGAGTGATAATTACCTAATTAAGACGGTAATTGTCACAGCCAATATTTCCTGCATTTCATTTGCTCTGATTTCATTGATTACAGTTCTTCCCCTTCCTATCAATCATCTATACTCAGAGCAACATCTTGTATATACCATTGCACAATATAATCATTAGACATTAAGGTGCCTTCAGATACTTCCTTGTTTTTGCTGCACCAGCTTAATTCAGCTACCCTTTTGGAAACTGGGAATGTATACACACATCTTAAGAACAGCGTAAGGTGCTGAGTCGCACCTTTTTAGCAAGTACACATTGCTTTTTAAATCTCTTCTGTTCTCCTCCGAAGGCTGAAGATACACCAGGGATAAGAAGGGGCAGAACTGCTGATTAGGTTCAAAGCAAAGCATAAAAAAGTCTCTAATCTCTCTGTGAGCCGAGTCTTCTTTTGTAGGCTCAGCATTCAGCTGAAACATGGCCATTTCGAGAAGAAATAGTGGCATTAATCATAGGCAGCGACATCACTAAATCAAGAGAACAAAACAAGTAGGAAAGCACTGTTTTTCTTTTCGATTGATTTAGCCTTAGTTAGCCCTGAACTTCCAGTAAATAAGCCCCGCTCTCTACCCCCATCTCAAACAACAGAGGCTCCATCAGCTAAGTTTCTAGGTGATATATACATTTACCTAATAAAAACCCAGTTATATGGAATACACCTTGTCAACCACAAAAGCAACTTCAAGTACTCCAAAGGTATTTGTGGTCTACAAAGACGGACTTCCAGCAAAATCCTGTTTTGTTTGAGACATCACCTTAAGGCAGTCTTAAAAGCAGGCAGTTGAGGGAGTGGATGGATTCTCTTCAAAGAAAACTTCATCCTTGCACATGAATGTAAAAAGGAAATGGCCTACATTTACAATTCTCCCACCAACTTGCCGGGTGCCTGAGATTCTGTTTAGATCCCTTCATGTGGATTTCTTGCTGACGACACCATAGCAGGGCTTTTTTCAGTTGGGTTTCGCTGCTTATGACATTATTTTTCCTGGGTGATTTTAGCTGACAGCAACTCCATCTTTCTTTTAAGATTCTCTAGAGCCGTGGTGGCGAACCTATGGCACGCGTGCCACAGGTGGCACATAGAGCCCTCTCTGTGGGCACGCACGCCATCACCCCAGTCCTAGGCCTTCAGCTGGGTTTTATAAAACCTTTTTGCTTTAGGCCTCCACCGCCGTGTGCAAAAAAAAAAAAAAAAAGGTTCAATCAATCAATCAATCAATTTCAACTTCTCGCACGAAAAAAAAGATCTCGCAAAGTTGGAATTGATTGATTGAACTTTTTAGGCCCACCCAGTCTGCCGTTACCACCGAAGCCATGCCCACCCAATGGGCCACACCCACCCAATGGGCCACGCCCACCCAGCACCCGACACTACATAAGTGGGTTTTGGGTTGCAGTTTGGGCACTCAGTCTCTAAAAGGTTTGCCATCACTGCTCTAGAGGCCTAGTTTGGTGTGGTGGGTAAGATGCTAGCATAACATCAGGAGACTGTGAGTTCTAGTCCTGCCTTAGGCATGAAAGCCGGTCACTCACTGTCAGCACAGCCGACCTCACAGGAGTATTCTTGTTGCTGGAAAAAAAGGCCTGAATAGTATGAATGTTCACTTCCTTCAATTATGTGGAAAAAGAATGGGATAAAAATCTATAACCAATAGTAAACATCTAAAGGATGTTTCCCAGATTATTCTAAAATGTGAAGTTTTGTAAGGCTTTATATGCCGTTATGGTTTGATCCTGTTTTACAAGATATGTTCATTGGTGATTAACTTAATGATTGATTGATTGATTGATATAGACAGGGCTTTTTTTTCTCATAGAACGCCCAGAACGGAGTTCCGGCACCGTTTTTGGATGGAACCTTGTAGGGTAGGCAAGGCGGGTTGTATGACATATGTGAGTTTAGGCACCATTTTTTTTTTTTTAGAAAAAAAGCACTGGACATAGACAGACAGACAGACAATTTCAAAATAGTTTAGAATTCACACAAAAGGCTTCGTACCCAGGATAGAACTCTGGAAACAAGAATAAGCTTTGTTTAGGTAAACTGTTGCTTTGATTTCTTATAGCCCCTGTGCTTCACTGCTCAGAGAGGAATCTTTACATTTAAATTTCAGGTTTTTTTTAAATCATTGCTGTTAAGCACTTCCAACTTTAACAGTACTCTAAGATAGTACAGAACAAATGAACAGAGAGATTTTTAAAACCAGTTTGAAGCTTTTTCCATAATACCTTGAGATGCAGAGTTAACTGTGCTGAATGAGAATGGCATTCCGGTGAAAAATTCAGTCTAAAAATCTTACCTCAATTAAAATGTCAAACTTTCCTATTGTAGCACCAAATATAGTCAAGCAGAATAGATAATCAGTTGGCTCCTACATTGTAATTCTTTTGCCAAAGACAGCATGCTGTGCTAGAGCTTTTATTAAAAGAACTATTAAAAATCCTGGAACGTGTTCATAAAGAACCAAGATTTTAAGTACACTCTCCAACTGTGATCATCAAAAGAAAAAAAGGCACATCCATGAGTCATGTCTTTTGAAGAGAAATACTAAAAAAATATTTTAACAAATTCCTTATTAAACCAGGTTGCCATAAACAGAAAGCATAGTTTAAAATCTGCAAAGGTACAGATGGATTTTTGTGTATGTTTTATCTAGTCTTTAATAAGGACTGGATTTTATTCACAGCAGAGTGAAATGTAAAACTTCTGAAATTGTAGAATGGACTACAATATTGTATTTTTTGCAACACTACTGAGAGAGGGAGGGAGGGAAGGAAGATTTTTTAAAAATTCTATTTTACAGAACTGAGCACAGAGAAACAATAAAAAGATTATCACCACCCTTCTGGGTACTACAATAGGAAAGCCACTGATTTTTTGTTAGCATTTTTGGGTGATTATCCAGCAACCATTACATCAGATAGTGGGAAAAACGGAAAATTATGTAAAATCTAGAAATGGTATCTGAGGTCTATACTTTTCCTTCTCATGGCCCACTCTGTGTCTTTTTCACTTTACATCATCTTCTTAATCTCTAGACTTCACTGCAAAAGCTGTCTCTTTATTGACCATTAAGTATTGTTGAGATCCTTCCAGGAAAAGTGAGGAGAGCTTGGCCTTTCCCTAAACAGAAGCCTTGGTTTCTAGGGCACTAATTTATATATGTGGGTTTGATAATAAACAAACCCTCTTCCACCGAATAAGGACTACTATATATTAGCTGTCAAAATCCAGAAGTCAGAACACTGCAGCAAAAATCTGGCCACACAGATCTATTTGAAATCAAGTCTAAAGATGGAATTTATTTTAAATGAAATTTAAAAACCAGCACTTGAACACATATTCCACCTTATAAAACTTCAGAGCATAATATGCTTATTTTTCTCCTGTTTCCTTCTTTTTTATTCTTACACACTGCTTTTAGATTACAAGCTTAGGCTGTGGCTCTTTAAAAAAAAACAACAACACACAACTTGTTCGACCAAACAGGAACTAGTAAAGGAAAATCAACATAGCATGCCAATGAAAAATACCATAGTCCAGTGATGGCAAACCTTTTAGAGACCGAGTGCCCAAACTCCAACCCAAAACCCACTTATTTATTGCCGGGTGCCAGGTGGGCGTGGCCCACTGGGTGGGCGTGCCTTGGTGGTCATGACAGACTGGATGGGTGTGGCCAAGGTGGGCGTGGTCTCCTCTATGTTGCTCATGGGGACACCTGTGGGGCAGGGTTGGGGGAGATCCAGGGGGTCTCTGGCAGGTGGGGCGGTGGGCAGGAGGCTCGTCCTGCGGGGTGAGGCGAGGCAAGGCAAGGCAGGGCGGGGGTGCCATTGTCGCAAGGCAAGGCGGGGGCCGGGGCCGGGGCAGCTGCTGCCTGACACCATCGCCCCCCACACACAGAGGCCAGTGAGCACATGGGGGCCGACAGTATCCATCAGCAGCCACAGCCTGCCAACCCCTCAACCAGCGCACTCTGGGGCTCCACAGCCTGCCGCCAGCAGTTCAGAGAAGCCCCCTCTGAGCTGGACGGCCAGCCGACAGCTGAGAAGGTGATGCAGTGGGTCGTGCCCGGGAAAAGGAGAGCATGTGAGGCCAGGAGGGATAGGACGGGAGGGAGGGAAACCAGCCATGCTGGAATGCATCCGGCCACGTGAGACCTCGGCAAGTTAGCGGGCAGCTGGTTGAAGAGGGACAGTTGCCATCTCCGGGGCATGGCGCGCATGCCCACAGAGAGGGCTCTGAGTGCCGCCTCTGGCACACGTGCCATAGGTTCGCCACCACTTCCATAGTCCTTCAGTGAATTACCAAAATCTACTCAAATGGCCAGTGTGGGCTTTAGGAAACTACAAAAGTTGCTTTGCAAAATTTCTAGAGGCTGCTAAGGTTCATGCTTCTTTTCGGGTATCTGCTCCAAAGTCCACCTTTGCTATGAAGGCATGACTTTTCACAGTTATCACATTTCATAACTAAACCTAACAATGTACAATATAAGTAAAATAAACACAACTTTTTTCCCCATGGACCCTTGGCTCGGCTTTTCTTCCCTCCATTATTTTGACCGTATAGGTAATCCTCGGCTTACTGCCACAACTGAGCCCAAAATTTATGTTGTTAAGCGAGACATGTGTTAAGTGAGTTTTGCCCCATTTTATGACTTTTCTTGCCACTGTTGCTAAGTGAACCTCTGCAGTTAAGCTAGTAACACGGCTGTTAAGTGAATCTGGCTTCCCCATTGACTTTGTCAGAAAGTCACAAGATCCTGGGACAATGCAAACTGTCATAAATATGAGCCGGTTGCCGAGCATCTGAATTTTGGTCACGTGACCAATGGGGATGCTGCAACGGTCGTTAAGGGTGAAAAAGGGTCATGAGTCACTTTTTTCAGTGCCATTGTAACTTTGAACAGTCACTAAGTGGACGGTTGGAAGTCAAGGAGTAGCTGTATCAATTTGCACATAGAAAGGCTTTCAAGGGAGGGAATTTGTCCAGGTGGGGAGCTTCCAGCTAGTTATAGTTCCAGCAACCAAAACATTCTGTGGTCATCATGATATTTTCACCCCATTTTTTTAATGTGCAACTCAAGACAGCTGACGTTAGATCCATATTCCGTGTAACAGAACTCAAGAGTCTCCCGGTTCTTGGGCCAGCCCCTTCCCCCACTACACCAAACTGGCTCTCAGTATGCCAATATCTCCTGCCAACATTCCCCCTTTAAGAGCTGCACTGGGAGAAAAAGAGAGGGAGGGTAGGCTTGAAAGAGAGGGCGCCAGGTTGCTCTGGGGGGGCTCAGGATTATTGGGAGTTGGGCAGTGTACAAGTGGAAAAAATAAATAAAAAATGGAAAGACTATTTTTGAAAAGTAGTTAGGGGCTTGGTAGGGAGACTGAGCAAGGAGGAAGCGGGTGTTTGCAGGTGTTGCAAAAGGGATGAACAGGAGAAAGAGAAGAAAGGAGGCAGACCCTCACGGGGGGGGGGGCGGGGGCAGGGACTCCATAAAATCCCCCCTCCCCCGGGTTACTGCACCCCACATAAGCCCTAATCTGCCTAGCCACGGTTTGCTGGACAAGCCACAATGGGCTGACCTGGCTGCTAAACCATGGTCCATAACTAAGAAGTCTAAGCAGGGGGTTGGACTAGAAGACCTCCGAGGTCCCTTCCAACTCTGTTATTCTATTGCAGGGGTAGTCAACCTTGGCTCTTTTATGACTCGTGGACTTCAACTCCCAGAATTCCTGAGCCAGCTGTGCTGGCTCAGGAATTCTGGGAGTTGAAGTCCACGAGTCATAAAAGAGCCAAGGTTGACTACCCCTGTTCTATTGTAAACCACAACTGTTTGGGTTCCCACCGACCCAGAACCACCCCGACCCCAGCAGGGCCGGGCCTGGTGGGTGAGGCACCCCAAGAAGACGGTGAGAGGAAGGGCGAAGCGCCACTCGGCCACGGAAGGCCTGGCCAGAAGGGTCCCGTCCCTCCAGGGCCCTCCCTCGGCCCTCAGAAGGGGAAAGAGGCGCAACAGGTGGGAACTCCCGCTCACCGGCCGAGCCGTCACCTCCGCCATGGCGCCTCAGCTCCGAGCAAGCCACCGCCAGCTGTTCGTTGCCTAGGTGACCAGCCACCCCGGAAGTAATCGACGGAAAGGGCGCCGGGTATCTTGTTGCCACGGTAACAGAGCTTCCGGTCCCTCTAAACTCCAACCCTGAAGCGGGCTGTGGCGTCGTGTGGAGAGAACGGAAGTGACGTCACGGGGCTCGGCCGGGATTAGGGAGGGCTCGAGGAAGGGATGAGGTTCCAAAGTTTGGCTGGCTTCTTCAGATTCTCTCCCCCCCCCATTTTTGTCACTTGGACTCGCCCGCCGAGATTGGTGGCCCGCGACGATAAGGGGGGAGCGAACTATTTTAAAGAGCCAGAGGGGGGAAGAAATAAATTATGAAAAATCTGCCTTGCAGTTAGAAATGATTTGCCTTGCCTTTTTTGGGATCCTGCTAGTTTGAGGGACTGAGTTTTTCTCTATGGCTTATTTTGCATTTTTATGGCTCCACCAGAGCGGTCTAAAATCCTTGCATATTCCAACGGTGTTGCTTTTTTAAAAAAAATAATACTTTTATTAAGAATTGCACTGGGATTTCCAGATTTCTGCAAAGAGCTGCTAAAGCCGCTAACATTGGGATGCCCTTATATATCACTTTTGCACACTTGGCAACTTTTGAGATAGGTGGGCTTCAACTCCCAGAATTCCTCAACCGGTAAACCGGGAGTTGAAATCCGTATCTTTAAAGTTGCTGAGATTGAACTGCACAACTAACAGTCTTTCTCAACAGTGTTTAATTCTTATGGAGCCAGTTTCCTTATTTTTTCACCCGGAAAAGTTTTAGAATAGCCCTTTTTGGAGATCACTCCATCTGGAGGGCTTTTTTTATGTTTGATTGAAGTCAACGGTGTTTAGTCTGGATTTGATATATTTTTATCCACCTACCGAGTCCTTCCCAAAGACCTGGGATAGGCAGATGTGCATGTTTGATTGTGTTAAAGGTCTCATCTGAGGATATAAGCCAGGGGTCTTCCAATTTAGCCCTTTTATGACTTGTGGACTTCAACTCCCAGAATTCCTCAGCCACACTGGCTGAGGAATTCTGGGAGTTGAAGTCCACAAGTCATAAAAGGGCCAAGTTGGAAGACCCGATATAAGTTATTCCAAGTAAAGCTGCCTTTTGCAGTTGACCGATGATGATCTTGTCTGTGCTGATGGTGTTCAAGTGGTGCTCCAGGTGTTTGGTGATTGCACCCAAAGCACCTATGACTATTGGTATTATCTTTGCTCTCTTTTGCAGCAGTCGCTCAATTTCTATTTTCTATTCTTTCTTCTCTATTCTGCTGTGTCCAGGTAGTGCCGTGTCCAATTAGGGCTGTATTTCTCAACCTCAGCAACTTTAAGATGAATGCATGCATGCCAACTGGGGAACTGTGGTTCAAGTCTACCCAGTTGCCCGGATTGAGAAAGTCTATCTTACATGGCCCTTTTGTGTTGGTTTGCATAGTCTGGTATAAAAGTTAAAACAGCAAGTTCAGTGAAGCTGAACTAGCCATTCAGGTTTTGTTTACTCCTTAGGATGCCCAGCAATTAAGGATCCTGGCAGTCGGGACAAAAATTTATAGCCCTCACCTGTTGGAGAAAAAAAATATGTTGACGTCATTTAAGCTTTAAATAGGCCATAGTTCAAAAGAGAGCTTGCGTAACTAGGATGAAGTGCTCAATCTCTTCCTCCATATTTAACCTCTATTCCCCTAGGTTTAATTTTAAACATCCACCCTTAAGCAGAATTTAATGAAACTTATTTACCCAGATGCAGGAAAAACTCTCTGCTACAATGCGTATTAATTAGCCTGGTTGTGTTGTTCAGCGGCTTGTGTTCAACACACCCACTGCAAAATTGTACTTGAGTTTAACATTTAATAAAGTGATTAAAATGTTCAAATGTGTAAGGAAGGTGGAAACAATATTCTGATCAGCACAAGAAAATGCTGCCGTTTCCATGGGAACAGGCCTGGACAATATGGAGCAAGTTGGCAAGGTTAAATTTGCTAGCTGTTGAAAATTAAAAATATTTCAAACTCGAACACCATTACAGCAGAACACAAGAGAAGTTAAGAATCCAGGTCTTTTCACTGAACACTGACCTGATTCACTGGGATCTTCAGATTCTTTCAGTGCTGGTGTAAAAGATTTTATGAGCTTTCAGAATTCCTCTTAGGTGGTGACAGCTAGAAAATATACGTTTTCTGAACTTGCAACAATTGGACTTCACATTGTTAGTCATTAGATTTTTTTCCAGCCAAAGTCACTGGAGGGTTGTTATAGATCGGGCTGGCTTTGCATAGGGTTGTTTACTACAGGTTTTGCAGGAAAGAGATTTTAGACAAGGGTAACTAAGTTACTTGTTGCCTCACTCTAGAGGCAAAATCTTAAGAGCAAGAAGTCCTGATGTATAAATAATAAAATGTATAAAATGTAGCCATAAGCTGTATTGTAATAATTTAACTGCTGAAACTTCTGTTTCATCATTGTCTGAAGGTCATTGACCAAAGCTTGTGCTAATTTTTGTCTGGCTTGCTGTTTGATTTTTTTTTTCTCTTAGGACCCACTACAACTTTTAAAATTATACAGGACCCAAAAAGAGCTTGTCTGTACGGGTTGTTATCTATCAATATTTACTGTATTAAAAATTAAAACAGATACATTTGCCACCAACTTTTCACAATTGTTTGATGGGATTTTAATACTGGTTTATTTTTCAACATAGACTGGCAAATAATTCTGCCCCCCCCCCCGAGTGAAGAGGATTCTTTGGGTCCTCTAAAACCCCTGGAAGAAGAAGAAACACTGGTTTAGTCAAGATTGTAGTAATACTAAAGGAAAAGTCAGCTATGTTATTCTGAATTTCATATGGCGGGGGGGACGACTACCAAAATCAAGTTAAGACAGATAGAGGAAGAGATGTGACTTTGGGCCTACGGCAAGGCAAAAGACAGATTAGGCTGTATTTGAAAAGCTATCCTTCACAACCAGGACTAACATCTGGCTGGTGTTTTCCAGCTGTTGACTTGCCCAAGGTGTTTCCCCTTAGGTGTAAGATGCAAAATCACTGCAAGCGAACACTCAAAAAAAAAATTACAAAAGAAATAACAAAATAAAAGTTTATTAGAATTAGGAACGCAGTTTCTCCCTCTGATTAGCCTTAACATGGAACAGTCCGCCAGTTACAATGAAGTCTAAGAACAGTTAATTCCACAGCATGAGGTGCTCTTTTAAGATGGAGGGAAGAAAAAGAAAATAAAAAGAAAATAAAAAGAAACTTACAAGCCTTCGGTCATAGCCCAGTCCACTCATCTTAACCATCTCTCTTACATGCTGGATTACAGGAGCCCTCTATACATGGGAGTTTGCCAAAGAACACTACTCTTTTGTCTCACACAATAACTGATTTCTAATACAGCAGTTGTACTACGACACTTGAGTTAAATGGTTCTGAAAACTTAAGACGGTTTTGATACATAACACTAGCGATAAAACCCAAATGCAGCCACTTCAATAAGGTAGGAGAGAATGAGCGTGAGATAAAAGCCAGGATTGCCCGTCTGATGTGTCTTAGAGGACCATCATTCCATCTGTCCATAGTTATGGCAGCACAAGCCATAATTTCCATAGATTGCACCAACCAAGGTTTAAAAGTAGCCGAGAATTTCCTTTAAAAAAAAGGGGTACTATTTGCTTTGTTTTCTAAAGGATAGGAAAGCAAAGAAGGAGAGGAGTATAGGTCTAGAAGTAATTCTATATAACAATGCTGGGGAATTCTGGGAATTGAAGTCCACCCATTTTTAAGTTGCTACGGTTGAAAAATACTGATTTAAATGATTTGCAAATCCCAATTTTAAGAAGCCCCCCTCCTGACCCCACATGAACACACAGGGTATGAGCTCCTGAAGTAGAAGACGCAGCGATACAATGCTTCTATATACATTTTGTTAAAAACAACAATATCGTTTAATAATACAGGGGCAATGGCAAAATATTGAGAAAAAGAGCCGAACGTTGAGACACACCCGGGGAACAGAATGGGTTTATTCCATGAGGCCCTCCAAGGAACGGACCACTTGTTCCATCAAGCTCGTTCCAAGCAGGGCCGGTAAAAAAAAAAAAAAAAAACCAACACAAAACGCACAGACACACACCCGCACTTAACTGGATTGGAAGCACTTTGTCATGTCTTGTTGGGAGCATGCAAAGATGAAGCCGGGAGCAGGGCAGGAAACCTCACCGTTCAAGCAACAACAGGCGCGCGCTGCCCTTGAATGCAGACATTTTTGGAAGGCTTAGTTTCCAAAACCGTTGACCAATTCCAAACTTTCATTCCAAGTAGGAAGTCACAAAGCGAAAACAACTTCTCTCTCTCCCCCTCCCTTATTCTGAAGGAGATGATTTGGGGTTTTGTTTTAGTAACTCCCCAGGTAAACCAAAACCAGGTCTTAAATCTCATCAGATGTAAAGCTGAGCTGCCAAAACAGGAAACTGAGTCTCTCAACCCTACACCTCCTGCAACTACAGAAATATTTGCCAGGGGGTGGGCGAGCGGGCTGTCCTTAACACACAACTACAAGTGTCACAGGCACACATGGAATTAGCTGAACAGATCCTTGGAAACTTAACAATAGTTTCTTTAAAAAAAAGAGGGGGAAAAAAGTATCAGAAAAGCAGCCCTTTAGGAAATAAGCTAGACCAGGGGTCTTCAAACATGGCCCTTTGATGACTTGTGGACTTCAACTCCCAGAACTCCTCAGCCAGCGTGCCTGGCTGAGAAATTCTGGGAATTGAAGTCCACAAGTCATCAAAGGGCCAAATTTGAAGACCCCTGAGCTAGACTTTCGGGTACATCCAGCCTCCCCCACCCACCCACCATCCCTGAATTTGAAAGTAGAAATACTGCCATATAAGCGGGCTGGGAAAACTCACTACAAGAAGCTCCGATACAGTAATAAACAGCTTCCAAACGGTGCTTGAAGATAACTTTTATTACAAAAAAATATGAGACTATAAATGTTATCATAGGATATTCATGATTTAGTCCTCATTCAGGAAAAACAAAAACACCCAATGGCTCCAGAAAGTTTTCCAACCTCAGCAACGTTAAGAGGTGTGAACTTCCAACTCCCAGAATTCCCCAGCCAGCAAAGCTGGCTGGGGAATTCTGGGAATTGAAGTCCACCTCTCTTTTAACGTTCCTGAGGTTCCGAAACCCCGCTACAGACTCTTGCAACTAGATGGGAGGTGTTTGCTGCATCAGGCACTTTTTCCTCGCCAACAACCAGTTTTTCCCAGCAGCCCCCACCCTTTCCAAAATTGGACACGTTAACAAGGAATGTTCCGCAGACACTTTAACCCAACATGCCCAAAGCTTCCTATGAATGAATGAAGAGCCAGTCGCAGAATAAGATACTGGATTTTTGCACGGGCAAATGGCCGAGGTCGGGGGGGGGGGAGGAAATGGGACCGTTCGAAGCCGAAAGAAAAAAAAAAAGGCAGCCGGAATTATACAACACTTTTGATTTCCAAACGGGAAACGCACACCAAGAAAGCTGGAAGTGCCCAAGGGATGGTATCCGTTGCCAGCAAGGAACACACCCGAACAAGGGATCAACTGGTTGCAAGGAGGGGGGGCGGAAGAAGAGGAACCACCACCCCCCCCTGGAAAAAAACCCCCATCTATTTATCTTGTTTGAGCCAGAGAATGAGTTCTTTACAGCAGCACACACTGCCCCCTCCCTATTCCCCCTCTCCGAATTAAAAAGCAAACTGGGGTGGGGGAAAGAAAGAAAAAGGAAAAAAAAAATGCACGGCAAATAGACATCTTGAAGGTTTTTAAAGAATAAATATTTTTTTTTGTAATTAAACATTATGCAAACACGTGCCACGCTTGCTTTTTTTTTTTTTTTATCCATGCATATGCGCTATTTACAATTTTGAAAAATACTGTGTTCTCCTCTTTTGTTTTTCGTTTTTGTTTTTTTTAAAAGTCATATACAAAGGGTTTTCTGTCTGTGTGTGTGTGTGTGTGGTTTTTTTCCTTGTTTGGTGCCCCTTCCTCCCCCCTGCTCTCCTCCCCTCCCCCCACCCCAAATCATCTTTACAATAAGCCAAACGACATTCACCACCCATGAACTGGTGTGTATTTGTTACAGGAGGGAAGGGGAGGTGGGGGGGCGTAGGGGAAAAAAATATCTCATACCAAAGTACATCAAAATGGCTGGCCGGACATGTACAGCAGTGTCAAGAAACTGTTTTAAATTTCATCGGTCATATGCAGAGGAGGAGAGAGAAAAAGTCAGCTTGGAGAAGGGAGTTACCTTACGAGTTAAAAGTCGGGCGGGCTGTTTTTTGTTTTTTTTAGTGCGCCTATCACACTTACTGGCCACCTAGAATACTGTTGTACAATGGTTTATCTACCTTTTTTTTATTACAATATAATTTACTTAATTTTTTTTTTCCATTAACAAAAAGAGAAAAAAAAAACAAACAAACAGAATTCCGGTACTATAGACCAGCGGTGTTAATAGGCAGGGTGGCCCCTTGTTTTTTTTTTTTCCTGTGTCTGCGTGGGTGGGTTTTGTTTTAATGGTATGAGCACTCTAGATGGGAAGAGATTTTTTAAGAGTTCGTTTTATCCAGGCCACTTTTCAGTCCTCAATATATTCCCACAGGTCCTTTTCATAGCCTTCATGCACATGTTGCAATAACACCCTCCGTCGACTCTCGCAGTATCTGCAAGGAAAAAGGGAGGCGAGAGCCTTTAGGTGCCAAGGCGGAAACATTTCCGGGCATTAATACATTTAAAAGCAACAAGGTTTTGCCTTTGGGTAGAGTTGAGAAACTAGGGGGGTGGCCTTGCCAGTCGTGTGCAAATAATTCTTGCCTCGGTGGAGTTCAAACAATAAATAATAATAATAAATAATAAATAATAATAAATAAATAAATAATAATAATAATAATAATAACGATGTTGGAAGGGATCTTGGAGGTCATCTAGTCCAACCCCCTGCTCAGGCAGGAAACCCTATACCATTTCGGACAAATGGCTGTCCAGTCTCTACTTAAAAACCTCCAGTGTTGGAGCATTCACCTCTTCTGGAGGCAGGTTGTTCCACTGGTTAATTGTTCTAACTGTCAGGAAGTTTCTCCTTAGTTCTAGGTTGCTTCTCTCCTTGATTAGTTTCTTGTCCTGCCTTCAGGCGCTTTGGAGAATAGCTTGACTCCCTCTTCTTTGGGGCAGCCCCTGAGATATTGGAACACTGCTATCGTGTCCCCCCTCATCCTTCTCTTCGTTAAACTAGACATACCCAGTTCCAGCAGCCGTTCCTTATATGCTTTAGCCTCCAGTCCCCTAATCATCTTTGTTGCTCTTCTCTGTATAAAGATGATCAGGGGATTGGAGGTTAAAACCTACAAGGAACGGCTGCTGGAATTGGGTATGTCTAGTTTAATGAAGAGAAGGACAAGGGGGACACGATAGCAGTGTTCCAATATCTCAGGGGTTGCCCCAAAGAAGAGGGAGTCAAGCTATTTTCCAACCGTATATATCTTAACCGTGACTACTTTAAGATGTGTGGACTTCAACTCCCAGAATCCCCCAGCCAGCCATATTTTGCTCGAGTGCTGGGTTCTCTAAACTTGGCATCTTTAACACTTGTGAACTTCAACTTTCACAATTCCCCAGCCAGCCATGTTGGCTGGGGAATTCTGGGAGTTGTGGTCCACATGTCTTGGAAGTGGCCACGGTTGAGAAATACCGAGTTAAGAGGCGGTGACCCTGCTTTACAAACCCATCTAGCGATTAAGACCTGCAGGAGCGATCCTTCTGCTGAGGCCCCCACCATGTGCTTTATTCAGCACAACAGAGGAGCCATTTTCACAATCAGCTTCCAGACTTAATAGAATACAATCCTTCAGAAGCTGAACTGGGCCCTCCATCTCTCAGGAGAGGAACGTGGACTTCTTTCGCCCAAGTTTTAACCGTTAATTTAATTCCTCTTTTGCATGTTTGGGGTTTTCTTTCACTTCAACTGTCTTGAACATTTGCTTGGATCAAAAGTGACCGCGGGAGGAATACGTTTTCCTGCCAACCAACCTTTGTGTAGCTTAATTCAAGATGAGTGATAAATATTTTGAGCCGTACTGTCCGAAACAAGGATTACCTGTATTTATCTTGCACTTTCTGCTTTATATCCTGCAGTGAATCTTGAGATATATCTCGTTCCAGGTACCCAGAAAGGACCTCGGTAGCATTCTCCAAATCTGCTTGATTATTCTAAAAAGGCAAAACACTCTGATAAAAACTTAAAGTAACTCTTTGAGTTTGACAGAATAGCATTTTTTTTAAAAAAAAACAACAACCCTTCTTGTCAGTTTAGTATTTTCCATTAGCAGGCAGGCATTAGAGCGGTTTTGGAACCTCTTCAAAGCTTAAAGTATTTCTCCCCTATGGGCTTTTCTCTAAAGAAATCAGGAAACATCTGTCTTCCTAAATCTGATTAAGATACTTGGCATAAAAACAGAACTACGTTAACACAACGTTGAAAATAAAAGGCCCGGTTATTTGAGGAACCACCTACTTTCTTCCTGTCCAGTAAAATCAGGCAGTCTGAGAGCACTTCAAATCCATTTGACTAGACAGTATCAATGATGCCATCTCTGTCCAGGTGCCTTTTTATCTGGGAGAAACACCCTCTGCCCCAGAAATCCAAATGGCTCCCACCCTGATGATTCAGAAAGTTTGGTTTGTTATACAGAAAGTCCTTGACTTATAACCAGTGCCATTGTAATTTCAAACCATCGCCAAATGAAATGGTTGTTAAGTCGAGGATTACCTGTACAAAGTTGCCTGCTGGACCTATAAAGAATATTTGTAGCTCAGGGTTGAAATGAGGGGTCCTTGGTGCTCTCTGAGCCTATTTTTTTGCAGATGTTTCATGACCCAACTAGGGAACATCATCAATGCTAGAAGGGAGTGGGGTTTGCATGGAGGAGGAGGAGGAGGAGGAGGAGGAGGAGGAGGAGGAGGAGGAGGAGGAGAAGGAAGAGGAGGAGGGGGAGGAGGAGGACTGTGAGGTCCTTGATGCTCTCTGAGCCTGGCTGTTTTCTTGCAGACGTTTCATTACCCAACTAAATAACATCGTCAGTGCCAAGACTCTTGTTACCTCGTTGGGTAATGAAATGTCTGCAACAACAACAATAAAAAACAAGCTCAGAGAGGACCCTTCAAATGCAATTGCTCTTTTAAGTTTGTGGTTCAATGCATTATGTGTTAATGGACTGGGGTAGGGAGGAGTTGTATTTGTACTGTGGCGTATATTCTCATATTGTAGTCTATGCGACCATTGACGTCTGGATTCACTTCCAATTATATTGTGGAGGCAGCTGTTACTGGGAGTGCTTCTCTGCTCTGTGACTATGCTAGACTAGAGGGAGGACTAGCACTGATGAGGTTACCTAGTTTGGGTAAGGAAACGTCTGCAAGAAAACAACCAAGCTCGGAAATCATCAAGAAACTCACAGTTCTCTCCCTCCTCCTCCTCCTCCCACCCTACTCTCTTCTAGCACCGATGAGGTTGCCTAGTTTGGGTAAGGAAACGTCTGCAAGAAAACCACCAAACTCAGAGAGCACCAAGAAGCCCGGCTAGACCTGTATGATCTGCGTTGTAATTCTCCAACTCAATCCCAGGCCAGTGGACAGAACTATCGAGCATCCCGGAAGATTCCCAGGGCGCGGATGGGCCTCTTACCTCAAAGATAATGGACTGATTATTCTTTTTGAGGTAGAAGGCAAAGACATAGGTGTACATGAGCGTGGCACGGCACTGGCAGAGGACGTCGACCGCTTTTTTCAGGAACTGGACCTCGATCCAGGACATGTTGTGCTGCTGCATCTCCTCCATCTTCTGCTTGACCTGGGCGTAGAGTTTGTGCTCGAAGCGCAGGCTCTGCATGTGGTTCATGTAACGGTTGCAGTAGAAGAGGTATCGCTGCAAGGCGGCTCTCGAGCGCTGCGTTTAATTCCCCATCAGGCGAGATGGAAAAGCGAGAATTAAAGCAGGGCAATCCGGAGGGGCTCCCCGTGGGAAGGAGAAGGGAGCCCCAGGCAAAACAGGGGCAGAGCGGGCCCAGACTTTGCCTCGTTCAGCAAGTTCTCCAGGTGAAGCTCCGAATCTGATCCCCCACCCCTGGCCCTGCCGCCCGGAACACCACCCGACACAACATCCCCTGCCAACAAAACCCAAATTAACTCAAAATAACCTTAAGCGGCTCAAATTTCATAAGGTCATAGAGACTCGGAAAGATTTTCAAGCTTGCTTGCTGGCCAAATTTTATTTAGATGGGGCGTTGTTGACCAAAAAGAAACTGGGGCATGGTCCAGTCCAGCAGGGGCGTGGCAACTTTGATTGATTGGTCTAATTGGGCTAGAGGACTTCTAAAACCTATCTGTGGATTCTCCATTCTTTCCATGCTGGAGAAAAGGGTGTATTTATTTGTGGGTGGTTGAAAAACGGCTGGCGCTCGAGTGGATGGGGGATAAAAAGGTGACCCTCTGCGTAGCCCCAAATCTTGAAGGCTCCAAGTTTTCTGCAGCCTAGAGAAACAGCCTTCGCGATTGAAAGTTTTAAGATCTGTAAACTGCCGAGAGTTCTTACGGATTGGGTGGCCTATAAATGGGAATGACAGCAGGCCTTTTTCACAATACTAAAGATCTAACAGCTTGGTTTCTCCACAAAGACACAGGAGAGGAAGGTTCTTCCAGGCAGAAAGGATGATGTGCAGCCAGAATGTAAAATAATAAAAAGAAGCCACCTAAAGAGCAACACCATCCAGCGTACGAAGTCTACCCACAGCAAAACATCTCAAGAAGAACTGCTTTAAGGAAAGAAAGGGTGAAAGCGTGAAAGCTCATCGTGTGTCCTCGTTTTACAAATTAGCCGGAACTCTGACATCGGGAAGCAATGAATAAATTGGCCACTTGTTGTGGATTTAAGGCTGGAAGCTAACCCTACTCCACGTGCTCCATCTGGTCAACAAGAGAGAGAGGAGCAAGCAGTCAACAGCTTCCTGATGCAGAGGGTTGCCAAGAGTGATGAACTCACCTCCTGGGCATCCCTTGCTGCCTTGGCATCATCCTCGTTGTAGCGGTTGCAGTTGTACCTGAAAGAGGTTTATGAGTATGTAGATTTCTAAAACGATCGCTCTTATTTCTATCTGTCAGTCCAAGTTCTTCCTTCCCTTCCCTTCCCTTCCCTTCCCTTCCTTCGCATATTATTGTAAACAGGACAAAATCCCTTGTGATGTCTTTGCTAGCCTTCAGGGCCTACAGCTGACTAGAGCAGAGATTTCTCAACCTTGACAACTTTTAAGGTGAGTGGACTTCAATTCCCAGAATTCCCCAGCCAACAAGAGGAACCATATCAGGTCCAAAGCATCCTTCTCGGGATGCCAAAAACCACTGTGAAATAGTTAGAAGTGAATCTCAAATCACACCATGCTGAGCCGATCCCACGATATTTCTTCAGTTTATGCAGTCTAGGCAGAGAACTGCCTGTTTGCTCAAACTGATTTTGAATGATTCACACTACAACCTCTTGCGCACACTGGCTGGGGAATTCTGGGAATTGAAGTCCACACAACTTAAAATTGCTAAGGTTGAGATAAACTGGACTAGGGCTTCTCTCCAGTTCCTATCTTCTCACAAGTAATCTCTCTCTCTCTCTCTCTCTCACACACACACACACACACACACACACACACACAATCCATATGCAGCAATTATCTGCTGAGGCTCACTCCTTCTATAGAAAAATGTTCCTAACCATCCAACAGCCCAAAAACCCCCATAAGCATTTATTTAAACATACCAGGCAGATCCATGCGGCTCCCATGGGCCGAGACACACCCAGCAAAACTCTGCTTTACAATTCTGGTTCCGACAGACCATGTGGTTGCAGCCGCCATCTTTTTCTATGGTCACATGGCATTTGGGACACTCCTGCAGACAACAGGAAGGGTGGTGAGACCAAAAACTAGCAGGCCATTATTCTTTCTATTCAAAACGTTATTATTAATCATCCCTATTATTAGTTAAAAAAAAAATAAAACTGAAGGGAGATAAGTCAGTTGAGGGTGGATGAGATTAAAATGTTCTTTGGACTGCACATTTAGCTGTCGAATGGCTTCCCACCTTAAACAGCACAAGAAGTTGGCCTTGTAGAATATTTAAGAAAAAAAGAAACATCTGTTTGAACATGTGGATTGTGAATTATAGAAATCAACTGATCACTATTTTTCTTTACAAATGTAAACCAAGCAAACACACTGTTAACCAACTATTATGTGGTTTATGTTTTAAAAACCAATAAAGCATTTTAAAAAAAAAGTTGGCCTTGTATACTGAGAACACCGGCAATAAGAGTTCCACTGCTTCCAGGTCAATGGCAGCTTTTGTAGAAAAATCTTCCTGCGGTTACACCGTTTAGTCTCTGTGTCAATTACCGATAAGATTAACCTACCACTAATTTTCTTAATTTATAACGAGGCCTTGTAACAGTGCTTCTCAATCTGGGCCATTTTAAGATGTGCAGACTTCGACTCCCATGCCAGCTGGGGGCATTCTGGAAGCTGAAGTCCACACCTCTTAAAATGATCCAGGTTGAGAAACACCGGCTTAGAATACGAAATGAATCTTGAACACATTGGCAAGTCCTGGGAGAAGAGCGGTGAAGATACTTAGCAGCTGTCTATCAAGGGGAGGACCACCGTAGTCCAGCCTTTTTTTTTTGTTTCTGGGGAACAAAATGTTGCCAGGATGCTCATTAGAAGAAGAAAAAACCCGTCCCCTCACCCTTCTTTCCCCTACTTCGGTATGTGGATCGTGAGCCTGAGACTACAAATTCTCCAATCAACCTATCCTTCCTGAATTTATCCAAATTCCTATCACAGCTATTCACATTAAGTGACCATCACTCCCCCCCCCCAACTTGAAGTTATAAAGTCCAGAGGGCTGTGTAAACAATGGTTTGAATCAGGTACACCAGACGGCCCCCATCTCAGTATTCCGAGAGAGCAAAGCGCGTCTACTTTCTCCATACCGTGTATTTTGTTTTTTTTACACGCCTTAACCACTTCCTCTTCTCCGCCACCGACACTGAAAGACTGTGCAGAGTTTGTGGAACAGCTTATGATATCTACAAAGCATCAAACGGGCTACCAGTTATGAGTCGGGACCCATTTCCAGAAATCTGAGGTTAGAAAGGGCTGAGTATCTCTTAGAAGCCCTGCCTTGTATTTTGCAATTTGCACAGAAGGACTGGGTAAAAATTTGCCTGGACCCTGACAAAGGCACTGTAGATCAATGCAGCCATGGATCAATAGCTAGACTAGAGCAGAGCAGAAGACACCTTCCTGCGTTTCCAGAAACCACAAATACGGACACATTCCTGATCTGCATCGCCTTCAATAAGTGCAAATTTGTTAGTTCTCCTCAGTTAGACAATAAGTCTTGATTTTGCAGCAATTTAAAAAAAAACCCCTAGGCATAATAGATACTGGTACTTTTTGGCTCTCCAGTTATCTGAGTTGGAAAGAGAGGAAACCACAGAAGCTATTGTTTACAGGGAAAAATTATCACTCACTATATGCAAAAGGAACTGTCAGATTTCACGGAACGTTCTCGTAAGGGAGAAAAGAGACTCTGTATTGTGAGGGTGTCAAGCCAGAGAAACAAACCACCAAACCTTTGTGTTTGCTGCAATCCAATTCGAAGTTTCACTGTCATCATCACATTTCTTAATCCATTTTTTCAACCACTGTCCGGGAGAGGGGAAAAAAAATCATAATTGTTCTAATGGAATCATTGCAGGCTTCCTAAATTAACAGTTCATCGGATGTAAGGGACAACCTACAGAAATAGGGGACATGCCCTTCAACTTCTCTACAATAAGCAACTTGGCAAAAAAACAACAATTTTTTAAAATTATTTTAAAACATTTGAGGAATGAATGACCATCTAAAAGCAAAAGGGAGGAGGCAAGAAAGGGCTCAGCAGGATTGAAAACAAAACATCAACGGGCGTAAAGTTTACAGCTATCATAACATTTAAAATTCCTTGTCTCGTGAATGAAATAACTAGCTGGATACATGCAAATGGGCTCCTATCATCTTGAGAAATAATCGTAAAACTTTTATTTACTCATTCAAGCCAGTTCAGGTCCAAAGCATCATTCTCAGGACCCCCCAAAAGCAGGAGGAAATAGAAGTGAATTTCAAATCTTGCCATGCTGAGTTGATCATACTTGTCTTCAGTTGATATAAAATGCTTTCTAAGCAGAGAACTGTGTTTGTTCACCCTGATTCTAAATGATTCATCCCAACTTCTCTGGAAAAGGGGTTGGGGGGCCCATACAAAATATGAAGTGGGTGGGCAACCTGAAGTGGGCGTGAAGTGAAGCCCTCTGTCTCTTGGCCTACTCTTCAAAAAACTGTATTTCCAAGGTATCCTAAGACCCTTTCATGTATTGCTGCTGCTATGTTTATCCCCTGAAGCTATATTACTTTTCTATACTGCCACATGTTAGATGCAACCCCAGAAAGCTTTAAAAAGCTCACCTTGCATTTAACAGGATCATGCCAGTTCTCGCCACAGTTAAAACTGCAACAAACGTTTAAAAATATTTTTAAGACAGGTTTCCAGGTAAGCAATACTTGAAACAACGGATCTTTTTAAGATATAGTTTGCTATAACCCACAAAGCTTCACTGATGACTGGCAGTCAGCAAGCATCTGCCTGTCCCACCCCCCAAATATTCAGCAGCCCATGTTCACTTGGGTTTGCTATCACGGGATCCCAGACTGATTTCCACACAGCTACCCTACCAAGCCAACGTACCAAAATGGTGTTATCATCATCCAACCTGCTTACCAAAACTGACGGCCACATTTACAGCGAACAGGCTTGGCATCAGGATACTGTACTTTAACAACATGGTGGCAATCTGGAGCAGGACACCATTTTAACAGTCGATTGCACTGGAAGAAACAAACCCACCCATGGTTAGCACGGAGAAAGCCAAGAACAGAAATTGCACAGCCTCAGATTGCACTGAAAGATGGCTTGTTAACAGTCCACCTCACTCCCTTCTCTTGCCAGAAATCCTTTATCCAAAACTTCCATCTCGATGGAGACCTACCCTGCTGTTATCTTATGAACCTCTCTTCATGTTCAAAGAGAATTGCACAGCACTAGTTAAAAGCAAGTCCTAAAATGGTCCCAAAGATGGTTTTCCAAAAGGCAACTGGACTTCCTCGGGGGAGTTTTTCCTCTTTGAAAACGTTTCGCTTTTCATCCAAGAAACTCATCCAAGTTATGATGAAGATATAAGAAGCTAGTTAAGTGGTTTCTCTGGAAACAGTCAACCAAACCAAGTGGCTAAAATACTTCCGTAAAATCGTGGCCTTCACGTGGATCAGAATTTTAGATTTTGAGCCAAAGCAATAGTGTAACTTTTTTAATGCTGTCTGACAAACAGAATAATAGAAGAACAGAGTTGGAAGGGACCTTGAAGGTCTTCTAGTCCAGCCCCCTGCTCAGGCAGGAAACCCTATCCCATTTCGGACAAATGGCTGTCCAGTCTCTTCTTAAAAACTTCCAGTGTTGGAGCATTCACAGCTTCTGGAGGCAAGTTGTCTCATTAGAGCCAGTGGTTTAGCTAAAGACACTCGCACCCAGAACGAGTATTTCGGCATCAAAAGCCGAGAATGGCACCAAAAAGTGAACACTGCTATCAATCAACAGCCCCCCACATATTTAAACGGCTTCTAGCATATCTAGGGTTCCTAAAACAAAAGGAAGAACTTCCCCTATACCAGTCACGTTAGCATACAGTTTTAAACAGAACACTCACCTCTACAAAACTATTAGTTATTAAATGCTGGTACTTTAATTTAACTTTTGAATCTGTGATCAGGCGCCTACAAAAAGAAGAGAAAGATAATATTCCATTCAGAAAACCTTGTTACCTTAGGAGTCCAACCTTGTAACCAATTAATGTGTTTTCAAGGAAAAGAACAGTCTCATTTAGCAATAAAGCTCCAATATTTGAAAGAGTGGCTTTCCCCACACTATCTTCTTATTTGTTCTATGGTACCACCGGAAAAAAATCAAATTAAATCTTTATAGGAAAGAGGGTCCTTCTGAAAGGGGCACCCTGGCTGCAGAATGTCCACTCTCAGTCAAATGCCAGACCAAAATGAATGTGTTTGCCTGAGGCAGTTTTAAACTCACACGGTTTTAATTGGATGATTTCAGGTTTACAAATTAGGAAGCGAGTGGCTCAACCTTTTACAGGAGTTACACGTGGGAACCCCCTACTCCCCAGGAGTAATGTAATCTCCCCCCACCCTCAGTTTAATATGCAAATGCTAGAAAAGACTACTAAGAAAAATCACTTCGGCAGCATTACAACAGCCACCTTAAAAGGGCCAAATGCATTAATTCAAACCCGACATTTTATTGCTGGAAAGGATTACGCAAGAGCCCAACACTGTAAAGCAGGGGTCTTCAAACTTGGCCCTTGGATGACTTGTGGACTTCAACTCCCAGAATTCCTCAGCCAGGCACATGTGCCTGGCTGAGGAATTCTGGAAGTTGAAGTCCACAAGTCATCGAAGGGCCAAGTTTGAAGACCCCTGATTTATTAGATGACCCAATTTGGGCTTCGAGAGTCACTCTGCATTGCTTCAAAGCTGTGGAAACAGCAATGAGAAGTTTGGCCCCCGATTTTGGGTGACTTAAGAGAAAGAATCCTTAAGAACCTCAACCACCACCTTCAAAGTTCAAAGCATTTTCCACGTTTACGCCACTCTTCTCAAGCCTTTCGTCCCTTTATCTGCTTCCATTCAGCTCCCTTCCCATCATGACCCTGTAGCCAAAGTACAGGGCGTCCTTGACTAACAGTACTCCATTTGGCGTCCATTGGAACGGCACTGAAAAAATGAACGCCTTTCACATTTACGACCTCTGACGCAACTCCTTGGTCATGGGATCAAAATCCAGACACTTGGCAACTGACTCATCTTTATGACCGTTGCAGGGTCCCCGGTCATGTGATCCCCTTTTGCGACCTTCTGACAAGCGAATTCAATGGGGGAAAACTGGATCCAATTAACAACTGTGCTACTAATCACTGCAGCGATTCATAAGTCAAGGACTACTTGTGTAGGAAAAGAAGTGCCTGATGTTGTATCTTCATTTTTAATCAAACAATGGAGCAAGTAGCACTAGGCACTTAGCAATAGCACTTAGACCAGAGGTAGTCAACCTTGGCTCTTTTATGACTCGTGGACTTCAATTCCCAGAATTCCTGAGCCAGCTTAGCTGGCTCAGGAATTCTGGGAGTTGAAGTCCACGAGTCATAAAAGAGCCAAGGTTGACTACCCCTGACTTAGACTTATAGACCAGGGGTCCCCAACTCCCAGCAACCGGGCCGCACAAACAAGCAAAGCTCCATCTGCGGGATGCAGGCAGCACACAAAACCACCCATGGAGAGAGGTCCGTGGAAAAACCTCTCTCCATGGAACTGTTCCCTGGTGCTCAAAAGGTTGGGGGCCTCTGTTATAGACCGCTTCACAGTGCTTTACAGTCCTCTCTAAGCGGTTTACAGAGTCAGCCTATCGCCCCCAACAATCTGGGTCCTCATTTTACTGACCTCAGAAGGATGGACGGCTGAATCAACCTTGAGCTGGTCAGAATCGAACACCTGACAGTGGGAATGCAGAGTTAGCCTGCAATACTGCATACTAACCACTGCGCCACCACGGTAAGCCGAACAAGCCCCTGCAATAGATGCCATTTTTCTCTAAGAGTGATGCAACAGACCCTCTTAGTAGGCTTTCTGTGAAAGGAGTGACTTAAAAACCTTGATAGGTGACCCAATATACTTGTCATAATTTGTTCGTATGTACATCCTGCCTTCAGTATTATCAGACGCTGTTCCCTGGATGCCTCCTATTTCGCTCCAAAGCAAGCTAAGAGAGGAAGAAGCGGGCCGCAAAAGCCCACTTTGATGGGAGAAGTTCCCTGTTCCTGGGAGGCCCACAGGGACGAGAGTCCCGGGATGTTAAACGATGTGATTGACTCATCCCTCCATACAAGGTGGAGCCAATCAACGGGCATTAAGCTCAAGAAAATGCAAGTGTTAATTGAAATGGTGTCAACCGCAACACTTACATAACTGTATTGTCATCAACCAAGATATCACAGCCGTGAGCCGGGCAGGAGATTGTCTAGCAAGGACATCCAAGAGGCGACGGGAAGAAACAGAAGACAAAGAAAAACACGTCTGATTAGTTTAGGTATTGATGCCGCTAAGAAAATTCTACAGAGAAGCTTTTTTTTTTCTCAATTCCAGACCAGCGTTAAGACTGTGCCGATTTATTTTGCTTATATTCCTATTTTTCATCAGAAGTTTAAGGCGCCTTTCATTTAACGCCCCACAGCAGCCACCTGTGAAGTAGGTCGGACTGAAAGCAAGAGAGAAGTCAAAAGTCACCCAGGGCTTCCAGGGCGGAGTCCCGGACCTCCCCAAACATGAAAGGGGAAGGCAGGTCCGTTGCCAAATGGCAAAAGCCCTATTTTTATTTTATTTTATTTTGCAAGAAATTAATTCAAATGGCTAACGAGAGCTTTGGCATATTATCAAGCAGTAAGGGAAAAAAGGAGGGAAGGAAGGTAGTGAAGTGAGAAAAAAAAAAAAAAGGGTGGCCCTGCCGCAAAATTCTCTCAAGTTCAGACATATATTTTTTATTTATTTAATTTATTTATTGTTTTTACAAACAGCTTGAGGCAGTAAACATATCCAATATTATGTGCCTCCCCCTATTTTCCCCACAACAAGAAGCCTGTGAAGGACTGAGAGAGGAGGACAGGTCCAAAGTTATCCAACTGACTTTTCTACGTAAGGAGGAACTAGAACTCCCAGCCTCCTGGTGATTGGCCCACAGTCACCCAGCTGCCTTTCATGCCTAAGGCAGGACTAGAACTCAGCCCTCTCCTGGTGATTGGCCCAAAGTCACCCAGCTGGCTTTCATGACTAAGACAGGACTAGAACTCACCGTCTCCTGGTGATTGGCTCACTCAGCTACCTTTCATGCCTAAGGCAGGACTAGAACTCACCCTCTCCTGGTTTCTAGCCGGGTGCCTTAACCACTAGTCCCAAAGGTGCTTTCTTTCGAAGTATCTCCACAGACATGTAACCACTAGTCCAAGCTGGCTTTCCTCCTCCCACGTTCCAGAGGGCCAGGACATCTGAGATGGGCTTTGGTTCTCTGCTTCCGTTATCCCCATAGGAGAGAGAAGCCCGAGATATGCCAGCCAAGGTCCCACCCGGCTTTTCTCAGTTGCAAACTTCCCAGTTTCTAATGCTTGTGCTTCTGAAAAGTGTCAACAATGCAAATTCTCAGCTGCTTCCCAATTGGGGGGGGGGAGGAGGAGGTTGGGCGCTCAGCAAAGGAACAGCTGGAGCACGATGCAGGCCTTTCTTTAACATCGTTAATTCAGCGTAAACACAAGAAGGAAGAATTTTACCTGTCCCATGCCCTCCTCCATTATTTTGGTAGTTAAATATTCACTCCAGCACTGCATGCAAAACTTGTGTCCACACTCCAAGCCAGTGAAATACTGGAAAGACAAATCATCATTAGCTTTACTCGTTTTCACAGCTCTGAAACGGCACCATCTTTTTGCAAGTTCAGAGTAACACAGCACAGCAACTGAACTCATGGGCTTTGGGGAGGTCTTCTACCCTACACACACACATACACACATACACACACACACACACACCAAGGGTCTGCCACAAACATTCATTCCAGCAGCCCCTGACCCAGGAGTTGCCTTCAACTCCCAGAATTCCTGAGCCAGCCATGCTGAGGGGAAAGGGAGAGGTTTTCAAGCTGAGCCATGCTGGCTCAGGAATTCTGGGAGTTGAAGTCCACGAGTCATAAAAGAGCCAAGGTTGCCTACCCCTGCCCAGACCCAAAGTGCCAGGGAATGCACACAAACATCCTGACCCCACTATCCCAATTCATGCTGCCACAGTTCCTGAGGTTTTCACACTCAAAAATTGAAATTAAGATGGCAAAGTGAACAAGCTGGCATAGTCGCCCAAATCTCCCATTAAGGCCACACGTTTAGAACTGGTGATGCTGCTGGATAGGACCAGATGTTGGGAGCTTTAGGCCCTGCTTTGTCCTAATTGACAGGGGTAGGCAACCTTGGCTCTTTTATGACTCATGGACTTCAACTCCCAGAATTCCTGAGCCAGCCATGCTGAAGGGAGAGGGAGAGGTTTCCAAGCTGAGCCAGGCTGCTCAGGAATTCTGGGAGTTGAAGTCCACAAGTCATAAAAGAACCAAGGTTGCCCACCCCTGTCCTAGCATATCCCCATCTAAAGCATCTGCCAAACCTACTGGTCAATCAAGCACCTCCAATATTCTGAGGGTACAGGGATAGGTTGTCCTCGACCTACGACTGTAATTGAGCCCAGAATCACCCCTAGAAGTTGTTACAGTCATAAGTTGAGGCACACACATGACCCGGGAGTATAAAAAAAAATTTTTTTCACAGTAGTCATTAAACAAAAACTGCGGTCGTTTTACAGGCTATCAAGCACCCGTTCCGTGGCCATTGTAACTTTGAACGGTTGTAAAACGACCCGTCATTAGATGAGAAGTACCTGTACTGAGGAAACGTGATCTGATCCAGAGAGGTCACTTTGAATGTTTTTGGGATCAAAATAGGTAACTATGGGAGACACCAATTCTGATTTTTTTTTTTTTAACAATTCTCCCGCTTTAATTGTAATGCCAGCATTTGCACTTTCCAATTCTGCTGCTCCAGAGAAGCTGTATTATGATTCTGATGAGCATGAATTTCAAGCATTTTATATGTGAGCAGATCTACTCGTCTCTAAAGCCCCATACAAGGAGCATATTCAAAGCTCTTTAAGAAGCAGAAATCTGATCACAAGACATCATAACCAGAGAGACGGGAGAGGGAAATGAAATTAGGAGATATTTAATGAGGGGGAAAAAACCCAGAAATCATTGGTATATAATTATGTCTCTTCTACTGCAGAAGAAAAACGAGTTTGAATAGCCCCCCGTTAACGAATAGCTGCATTTTTCTCTTTTTTTCCCCTCAAGATTTTAGATATTACCGATAGGTATTATTTACAGGCAGTCCTCAACTTACAACAGTTTATTTAGTGACCGTTCAAAGTTACTGAAAAAGGGGACCCATGACTGTTTTTCACACTTATGACTGCTGCAGCATCCCCCGTGGTCACGTGATTTACCCTCGGATGCTTGGCAACTGACTCACATTTACGACGGTCGCAGTGTCCCGGGGTCACGTGATTCCCCCTTTTACGACCTTCTGACAAGCAAAGTCAGTGGGGGAAGCCAGATTCACTTAATAACCGGGTTACTAAACTGAGCAACTGCAGCGATTCACTTAACAACTGTGGCGAGAAAAGTCATAAAATGGGGCCAAACTCACTTCACAAATGTCTCACTTAGCAACATAAATTCTGGGCTCAATTGTGGTCCTAATTTGAGGACAACCTGCATTTGGCATTTATTGGCATAGATAGATAGATAGATAGATAGATAGATAGATAGATAGATAGATAGATAGATAGATAGATAGATAGATAGATAGATAGATAGATAGATAGATAGACAGACAGACAGACAGACAGACAGACATAGGTATAGATAGAGGTAGATAGACAGACAGACAAAGATAGATAGATATATAGATATAGATAGATAGATAGATAGATAGATAGATAGATAGATAGATAGAGATAGACAAAGATAGACAGATATATAGATTGAGATAGATAGATAGATAGATAGATAGATAGATAGATAGATAGATAGATAGATAGATAGATAGATAGATAGATAGATAGACAGACAGACAGACAGACAGACAGATAGATAGAAGTTACAGACTGCACAACTTGGAAGGCACCCACCGAATTCGGATAGTTGAGATAGCAGATCTGACATGGCATATCCTGTGCAGATGATCTGGTGTTCATCTGACGTGTTCGAGACTTTTTACTAGGATTAATGACATGACATTCTGCAAACAGCTTCTCCAGGTTGCCGTCAAAGTACCTACCGAAACAAGAATGAAGTCGAATGAATTAAAAAAAAAATCTCTCTGAAAAAACAAACCCTACCAAAAAAAAAACAAAAAAAAAAAAAACCAATCCTGAAAATAATTCCAGCCAGCATGCAGGAGGCTCTGGGATCTGTATCCAAACTTCCTGCCTTCTAATTCATCTCTTAGCTAGAGGAGGCAGATGGTCTTGGTTCTGTAAATCCATAAAACAATTGCATACATTTGTGTGTTTGTTTTTTTTAAACAGCAAAATGCACTGGGGAAAAAGTTGTGGGCCACCCTGCTTCAAAAATCTCCTGCTTCAAAGGGTCACTTCAGGGCAGAAATCCCTGTTGCTGAGTCTACAAATCTAATGTGTGTGCTTGGTTTCGGTCTCTGGGCAGCTTACAAAAATAAAATGAAACCATAAGTATATAAAATCACATTAAAATTACAAATAAATACAAGCTATAATTAGAAGTCTTGCCAAGGAGACACTTGACACAATGGCAAGGGGGGGCGGGGGAGAGAAAACTGTTGGCAGACCTGAAGGGCCAGGCTAGGGACAGAACATCCTGGAGAAAGATCATCACAAAAAGTCAACATCAGTGTCATCACAATGACTAAGCATCCATTTGATGACCCATAACCAATCAATAAACACATTAAAAAAAATTCAACCATACGACTGCAGCCCCGTGTGCTAAAGCTTTCAAACACACCCTGCCTTCAGCAATCAAACATTAAATTAAAACTGTTATAGACAACGCAACATTTTCACAACAGTCTCCAAAGAAATGCCTATTAGTTCAGCATCCAAAGTTATGCTTCTGGAAAAAAATGTCAAACTGGATATGAATAAACATTTCCTGGCCTCCCACGTTGTCCTCAAAGTTATTTGAAATTGTAAATCAAAAACTGAAAGTGAAAACCGTTGTTTGTGGATAAGCTCTCCAATATGAAAAATTATTCAAAATGCCTACAAAGCCCTAATATTTAAAAAAATGTTGAACAGGCCAACCTCTCAGCTCTGGGTGCAACTCCAAGGTTTCTTGGGAAAGTTGCAAAAAAAAATGCCGGTATGATTAATTGCAACTAGATTAAGCCAGTGAATTAACTATAATGATAAGAGAGGCTCTTGAGTATAACTGCTTGTTAAGCGTTTTAACTCAGAAAGCTATTTTAGGAGCTGTTCCAAGTTTAGATTTTTCTATCACACTACTCCAAGGTGCATTTCACCAGCCTGTTAACTAAGCAACCATATTTTGGTCCACCCAACAGATGAGGCTGAAATCACATTATAACCCTAACAAATGTTACTGAGCTAGTTCTGATACTAAGATAGCTTCTTATAGCCGATAGTTATGCCTCTATACTGACTGCTTCTATAAAAAAGCTCTTTCTCTCATGTTACTGATATCTTATCTTTATTCCACAACAAATTCCAAATGTTAGTATCTTTGGTAAGGATGGGGGCGCACAATGGCACCCACACGCTTTGTAAGTATGTTATGTGAGATATGGAACTATACCACCCAGGCTGAATTTATGAATTGTGTAAGGAATTTTGCAAAAGCCCAAACCAAATACTTTTCCAATAATTGGTCCATGTAAGGACACATTTTTCCCCCTCTCCTCCCAAGAGACCTCAATGGGCTTCTTTGATTTCTAAGTAGCCTCAAATGTCAAGCCATGATGGGCCTTGGCTCACAAACATGCCTCATTTATTTAAAGAAACATGCCTCATTTGTTTAAAGAAAGTCGGAATCACAACAGTGAGTTCCTGCTATTCTGGCTACCCAGGAGAAAGAAACCACCTCACTTACCTCTCCATCAGTTTTTCTTTATCCCAGTTGAAATGACTGAGGAGTATCCTGGTGATGGTGGCCGGGTTCTAGAAGAGGAAGGAAAGTCGTCATAAGGAATGTGACCAGCAGACCCGCCCTTTCTCCCAAAACTTCATCCCCCCCCCAATTATATCTGATATAAACATGATGGTTATTTCAAAGGCAATTCAAGTTTAAATCAGTTGCACGATCAGTACTGATCAATAGTGAGTGAAATCTAAAATTGTGGAACCTGAAATTTTCTTATGACACTTCTTCTGACTGTGGAATAGGTCCCCTACACTTCCCCAGTCCCCTAAAGCAGACTAGAAATAAGGGGTCCTTGGTGCCCTCTGAGCTTGGCTGCTGCCTTGCAGATGTTTCTTTGCCCAAACTACCGTAACCTCATCAGTGCTAGTAATGAAATGTCTGCAAGAAAACAACCAAGCTCAGAGAGCACCAAGGACTCCTCATTTCAACCCAGAGCTACAAATATTCTCCTTTATTGGTTCACTAGAGCAGACATGTCAAACACAAGGCCCGGGGGCTGGAAGCGGCCCGCGAAGTGGTTTCATGTGGCCCGCGAAGCCATCCTGGAAACAGTGAGGGAACGGTCCCCGCTGCTTTGGCCCTGGCCCAGGCCGGCCGGGAGCCAATGTACAATTTTATGGTGGCCATCTTGGCACTTGCCCCGGTGGACCATGCCTTGGCACTTGCCCCGGTCCCACCCCCTTCTGCAAGAGACCCCCAGATCTGTCCCACTCCTGCCCAGGCCCCTTGATGTGAATGATGTAGAACTGGCCACACCCACCCAGTAGGCCACACTCACCCAGTAGGCCGCACCCACCCAGCCCCCCAAGGGCAACCGCAATGCTGATGCAGCCCTCAATGAAATTGAGTTTGACACCCCTGCACTAGAGCAAGGGTCCCCAACGCCCGGTCCGTGGACCAGCACCGGTCCGCAGCATGCCAGCAACCGGGCCACGCAAACAAGCAAAGCCCCATCTGCAGGATGCAGGCAACACATGAAACCAGGCCCAGTCTGGTCCATGGAAAAACCTTTCTCCATGGAACTGGTCCTTGGTGCCCAAAAGGTTGGGGGCCGCTGCACTAGAACGTGGAGCCTGTGCAAGAATGGGGACTCCCCCACCCCCTAAACACACTAGATCTGGAGTGCTTGGCTTTAATTCATTTCCTTTTTTTAACACATTCAGGCAATGTTAAGACTAGACTCCAACAGGCGAATTCAAAAACGGAATTCGACCAGCCTTTAAAAAAAACAACCCAGATTTTAAAGTTATTCTGAATGTTGCGTGTTATTTACATATTCCACAGATCCCAATGAAACTAAAAAGGATTACGAGTACAGATGTCCACAAATAGGCAGGTAAGACATATAAGTATAATCCTCTTAGCTATTAAATGTCAGTTTAATGTTTCATTGTGCAACTGGACTTACCGTTGCATAAGGAAAGGACCCCTCTCTTTAGGCACATGAAATAGCTAAGCCCAGCCGACAAACACCTGGAACATTCACATCTCATAATAAACAGAATATCTGGGAATTTAGGCTTAATGCGAGCAAAGCAAACTCATGCATGCAATAAAGTAGATCCCACTTTGTTCCTCCTGGAAAAGGGAGCTGAAAAACTAACCAGAGAGATGCCTTCTCTAGATTACCTACTAACTCTCTGGCTTGTTAGAAGACTAAGCCACACTTCTGGGTTTGCAGGCAATATGTTTTCATGTGTTACTTAGTTATGTCTACCGACAGAAGAAACCAAACAGATCAAAGGAGGACGCCCCAGAAAACCAGAATTCTTGGGAGATTAATAGACGAGGAATTCTTCCAAGGATTTATTGTTCGTACTAATAATGCAAAATCGTCCCATCTGGGAAAGTTTTTATCATCTACAATTTTTGACTTTATTCAGAGATTAAGTATGTAAAAGTCGTTAAATGTATCAATATAACCTCTATACACTTGAACGCCAGAGAATGCAAAAGACACTGGAATGGAATACAGTCTGGTTTGATTATAATTCAAGTCTATTTTTAGGATAGGTAACATACATGCATCTATGAAATCAACTCTGGCGAACACATGGATATATCCATGCAATTTTCTTGGCAAATAGTACAGAAATGTTTTGCCAACGCCTTCTTTGGGGAGATTTTGTTTTCAACTTCTCAAAACAATGAATTGGCCAAACAATCCTGCATCAAGGTTACATGAAAGATAAAATTGGATGCTGAAAAGATTTCCATCTGATGTTAGCAACAGAAGCACTTTTTAAGACAGACTTTTTCTACAAATAACTCTACAGGATTCAGGATAAATATCACAGGCCTTCTCAAACTACAGCAAAAGGATCTGTTAACCCTAATCGTTAATCAAAAAAAGCCTTACCTATTTTGAAAATATTTACAGCCTACAAAACATCCAAGTTCAGTCATCGTATTCTAAGGCAACATGTTACATAACACTTATTTTCCAGTTAGGTCTGTGCTAGCATGATAATCTATGTACTCTACTGCTCTAAGACTGCAAGTGATTAAAAAACAAACAAACAGCTGTCCAACCCCTGCAGACAGCCCTTCTGATGTTAAAAATATATCCAGGATCTGTAAGACCATTTCAACATTACAAGTGATAGCTTCGGTAATGGTATTAATTTCTGGGATTGGTGTCATAATTAGTTCAGGCTCTATTTTACAGCCACAGACACCAAGAAACAATTTAGAATATAGCCCAATCTAAATGGGATAAAATACCAAATTTACCATGTCACTAAAAGATCACACACATATTGGGTAAGCTTGTGCAAACAGGCACACGAGGATGGCAAATTGCTAATTGCAGTGATGGTGTTTTCCAATTTAGCTGCAAATTTCTCCATTGTTCTAACATTGCTTCTTCTCCCAAGAAACATCAGCCGCTCATGTTAGTCTCGAAACTATGAGAAAGGCTAGCTGGCTCAAAATCTACCAGTCACATCATCACTTAATGAGAAGCCTACAGTTCAAGTCCAACAATCCAACATTCTCCAGCATCAAGCTATTGCTTTCCTATTCTCTACAAAGTATAAATTAATCTTCTCACAGAGGAGAGAAATATTAGTCCACTTTCCATCCACTGTAAAAAAAAAATACATACAGCTATATAAAAGTAAACAAGTTGAATGTAGGCTTATACATAGGTGGCAATAGGTCGATGCACACTTAAAACAACTCGCTTTTAGTGTTGCACCACCAGGTAATCCTTCCAAATATTCAATATTCCAAATATTGATTTTTAACATCAGTCCTTTCCCATCTGGGATAATATCGGGCAGAGCAACAAACTTGGTTAAAATCAAAATACCAAAAACACAGCACTGGCTTAGATGGTATAAGACCTTTGAGAAATAGAATTGAAATACAATGTACTAGATACAGTAAATGAGAATATACATCCTGAGTGTGAATTAATTCACTGCTGGATGAAATATTCTCCATTTAGGAACTTGGGCTACAACCAGCCTCCCTGGTCCAGACAGATGTTTTTCAACTTTGCCATCTAGGGCTAAATCAGCCAGCTTCCTTGCCCAAGGGAGAATTAGAATCTGGGTCTCCCTATTCCCAACAACTCCAAGGAAGAATGGCAGAGAAAGGCTGATTGCTTTATAGGGAACATTGCAAAATAAATCTCCAGAGATTACACACCCAAGTGACAATAAATTGGTTCAGATCAGTGTCCCACTAATAGCTTGTTGCTGTTTTGTTTTTAAAAAACGGAAGAGTTCCAAATGTCAAAACATACCTCTAGTCCAGGGGTCTTCAAATTTAGCAACTTTAAGACTTGTGGACTTCAACTCCCAGAATTCCTCAGCCAGCCAGGGCTGGCTGAGGAATTCTGGGAGTTGAAGTCCACAAGTCTTAAAGTTGCCAAGTTTGAAGACCCCTGATGTAGTCCCTTACTGACAGTCTCTCCATTTACAAAATGGCTATGTACAAATCTATACAGGTCGCCCTTGACTTACAAGAGTTTGTTTAATGACCACTCAAAGTTACAGCGGCACTGAAAAAAGTGTCTTATGACCGTTTTTCACATTTACGACCATTGCAGCATCCCTGTGATCAAAATTCAAATATTTGGCAACTGCTTCATATTTATGATGGTGGCAACGTGATCCCCTTTTGCGACCTTTAACAACTGCAGTGATTCACTTAAGAACTGGGGCAAGAAAGCCCGTAAACTAGGACAAAACCCGTTCCACAAATGTCTGACTTAGCAACAAAAGTTGGGGGCTGCAAATTAACTATTAATTAATGCTCTGTAGGAAGCATGTGGTTTATTTCATACGCAAAGCAAAGAAAAAAAACACAAGGCTGGTGGTTGGGACTGTCAAAAATGTACAATCCTTTTGTAAATAACAGAATTTTTTTTATGTACGGTGGGGCAGCTTGAAGCTTACCGCACAAACCAAGAACGTAGCAATGGTTTGAGTTGGACACCAGGCCATACTGATGTGTGCATTCTAAAACTAACACATTTCATGTTCAATTTTCTTCTTCTTCTTTTCCACAGCCTTAAAAAAACAAGGCAAATGAAATGCTCAGAGGCTTCGTCTTTCCAAACTGTGAAAGCGTATTTTTGAATACAAAAAGGAATCTGGCCCCATGACATTTAAGAAAGACCGGGACACAAAGACTTGACGTAGCATCCTTGTATTAGATACTCTGGAGATATTAAAATACCAGCTATTTAAAAGGAATGTGTGTGTATTTGCATATAAAAAACATAAAACCACCTGATAATATTCATTTTGCAGGATTCCCAGGCCATCTTTTAATCCTTCTCAAACAATAACATTTACAATTTAAGGACATTGATACCTAAGTGCCACTAATAAGTCCTTCTGACTCTATGGCTCTTGAAATTGGGCTAGTAACGGCCACCTGACTTGACAAGAATGGCAATTTGCTCCTCTGTCAATCCCAAAATTAACAAAAGAAACAAAACGAAGAGACAAACCACAAATGGCATTAATTCTAATGTTTATTTTCTGAATGAAATTCAACCGA